AAAAAAAAAAAAGATGCATACTGAGGTCTATTAGTCAGAACCTCATAAAACAGCCCCGGGCATACATAGTCTGTTAGCTGAATAGTTGGAGTCTTTGTTGAATTCCAAGGTTCTAAATATTTCTCTGAAATGAAGGACAAAGACTTTACTTACCCTTGGTCTATTTGGACTCAAGGCATCTCCCGTGTGTATCAGTATCACTTATATAGACTTCAATGGCTGGTTTTTTGCATATGGGCCTTTCCATGGTTTCTAGTGGGTTTGAACTGATAGATTATTTTTATGTGCCATTGAGTCAGAACCAGTTAAGAGTTATCCCTCCAGCAGGCTTTCAAAGGCAGTATATTGCATGAGAGGAGATAGCACATCTTTCTGTTACAGGACAGCTGGTGGACTCGAACCTCATGCCTTTGGATTGGCAGCACAATTCCTTACCACTAAGCCACCAGAGCTCCCTAATAGGTTATTGTTGTGTGCTGTCCGTCAAGTTGGATGACTCATAGCTGACCCTTCCGTGAGTTTTCGGAGTATATGTCAACAATACAGCCAGATCACTGGGGTTCTAGTTCTGGTTCTGCCATCCACTGATTGAAAACCTTGAACCACAGTCTCTGCATCTTAAGTGGCAATGATAACATTTGTAGAGTTATTGAGAAGATTCAGTGAATATTCTTGCTTGTGGAGGGTCAGTGAAAAAGAGGCAGACCTTCAATCAGATGGCTTAACAAAGGCTTGAAACAGTGTGCTCGAACAGCAGTGGTTCTAAGGACAGCACAAGACTGGCTTGTTCTGAACAGGGTTGCTGAGAGTTGGAACTAACTGGCACGTAACAGCATACATGTTAAGGTCTTAGGGCGCTATCTGACACAAAATGCTCAATAAGGGAGAGGTATTGGGACAGGACCCCTGACGGCAGAGGCCTGGTTAGTTTAAGCTGCTAACCAAAAAAGGTGGTCAGTTCAAGTCTACCAACTACTCAATGGATGAAAAATAGATAGTCTCATTCTGAACAGATTTACAACCTCAGAAACCTGAGGGAGTGTGGTTATGAAGTAGACCTAAATTGACAGGTATTTTAGATGTGGTTAGATTATTGGGACAGAGGATCCCTGATGGTGCAGTGGTTAAATGCCTGTTACCTGAAAGAGAGCAGTTCAAACTCCACAGCTGTTCCATGTGGGAAACATCCAGCAGTCTGCTTCCATAAGGGGATATCCTTGCTGTCCACTTAAGGAAGTTCTTGACTAATATAAACAATGTTGAGGAGGCGGTGGTTTGTGTGTGTGTGTGTGTGTTTTTTTTTTACTGCTGCTTTCATGGATGTTGATGTGAAACCAAGTAAAATGAAATCCCTGATGTCAATCTTTTCTCCATTTGTCCTGTTTATTGGTTTGGCCATGAGGAATTTTAAGTTGAGTAATCCAACTCTGAGGGCTGCATTTTTTTAAAAAAATTATTATTTTGGTGCATACCATCAAATTGTGGCTGACTCTGAGAAGAATGGGAATCCCAGAACACTTG